TTCTCCCCAAAAACAATGGAAGAGAAAGTTAAATAAATACTTTAAAATACTAATTAACTTTTACCTGCTCAGTAAAAATTTCTTGTGTGAAGATAGTCTTCATCCTGCTCAAGGAACTTGGCTTAATTACAATCTAAAATAATGAAAAGAATTCCAACAATATGTAAAATATCTGAAACAAAATCTACTTTAGGGAATTTACCAAATGAGCAGGCATGAGATTCATTATGAATGTTCAAAGGAACATGCACTCTGTTTCAGAAGCATCTTTTAAAGCCCAACATTAAAGGATGTTCTTCCTCAGGAAAATGATCAAAATAAAAAGAACTTAGTAAAAGCAGGGCTGAGGCTGAGGCAGGAGACTACTTGAGCCCAGTTTTGTGCCAGCCTGAACAGCATGGCAAGACCCATCACAAAAATGGATACCTGTGCCAAGCATGTGCAAGCCCTGACTGGAACCCAAGCCCTGCAAAAGAGGGAAGGCAGTGAAGAGAAGGAAGAGAAAGGGCCAGGAGGAAAGGAGAAGAAAGAATATACTACATAAAAACAACGGTAATAATTTTTTCATGGCATAGTTAAATGGCAAGAAAGGCTGGGAAAAATCATTTGAAAAGTGTTCTACTTCTTCACTTGGAAAGACACTAAAGTGCATCAACAGACAGAATAGTAGCTTTCAAGGGCAACAAGCAGAGACAAAACACTATCACATTCTCACAGTATAAAATGTAAAATGAATCCCAAATTCAATACTGAGTAAAATACATGTCAAAAGGCTAATGAAATATATAAAGTGCAATGGCATATCATTTATATATTTTTGCCCCAGTGGGACAAAAAAAAATCATACTGTATTATAATACTTATTGATATAAAGAAGCGTTCATCACATACTACTTAAGTTTTGTTCTTGTTTTGTTTGGGGCACCAGGGATTAAACCCAGGACCTTCATACTAAGCTATATTTCCAAATCTTTTTAAAAAATTTGTTTTGGGCCTGGTGAGATGGCTCAGTGGTCTAAAGCACCTACTTAGAACAAGCTTAGCAAAGCACAGGGACCACGGTTCA